ATATAAAGTCATCAACAAACAACTTTGCCTTCTACCAAAAAATTGTTTAAATATTTCATAAATTTCAAAAGCCAATAAATTTAGCTGTAATTATCATTGGCTTTGCACGATATTCATATTATTAATTTATGAAATCGCCTTGTACGCTCTTGCTTCAGCTTTTGGCATATGGCTAAATGCTATCTCAATCGGCTATGTAGCCATTATTTATCTATAAATTTCAGCTAGCGGACACGCCTTGAGTCAATGTGGCAGCTCATTAACGTTGCGTTTCCTATGGATTGTTTGCAAACGAGCATTTTATATTTTATTCGTATTATTATTATTATTATCATTCGCTGTATTTGGGGTGTGCATTTATTGCTGCTCATAAATAGAATAAAGAATAGGCACACACACACACACGTATATATATATGTAGCTATGTATGTATGCAGTGAGCACACTTGAGGCGCGCTTCAAGTTTGTGTCTTCAGTCATTTGATTTATGCCGTTAGACGTCACCAAAGCGCAGCCGCGAGTGTGTTCTATTGTAGTCTTTTCTCTTGTCTTGGGTTTGTTTTTGTTCTTTTTGAGATTTTAATTTTTGCTCATTATTTTCCACACACACTCGACTTTTTTTTTTAGGGAGGGAAGCCACTTAAAGCAACAACAACAACAACGACAATGACGTATAACTGCGTGCTAGGCAGTCCATAACAGCCCAATTACCATTAACTAACTGCAACTGAATGCGGGCCAACACGAGCCGGGAGAAGCAAAGAAAAAACGGCTACAACTAAAAACCAATCGAAAAACCAGATTCAGATAAAGATTCCAACAGCAAAAAATAACTTTCGGTTTTTTTTTTTTTTTTAATTTTGCGCGGTGTCTAGCGGCATTACGTAATGGGCCAAGAAAATGCAAATACAGCTAAGTTATAGATAGACAACGTACATACATACACACATAGGTAGTCATGTATGTATGTATGTGTGTATTCGAAGACAACGCCCGCACGCTCGCTCGACTTTTGATATTTGCACGCCCTCTAACAACTATTGTGAACTGATATTATGTTTTATAATACTGTGAATGCCGTTGCTTTTGGTTCACACGGCTCCGAGTTTCACGTGCTTAACATGGCTATAGAATATCTATATATATATCTAAACCTATATGTGTAGCGCTAATATATGCCTGAAAATTAGAACAGCACGTTAGGCATGCTGGGAATGTGCTTTAAACTTGGCCAAAAGCCAAAACAGTCAAGCGCGGAGTTATGCATAAATATTTGTGTTGGAGGAATGTATGCACTTTTTTTTCGTTAAAGATATTTTTTTTTCGGTTTAGTTTTATGGTTAAGAAGTTTTGCTTTAGCCCAAGTCAAGCGGCATTTTATTTTTTTATTTTTATAGCATTTCTCATTAGCTTTTTATATTTTTCATTTTCATTTTTTATTTGTTTTGTTTCTGTGTTTTTTTTAGCACTTGTTCGCTTCGTTCGTTTGCGCCTCTTCTTACACTTGGCTCTCGTTGCGGGCTTTTTATTGCCTCGTTTTTTTTTTTAGTTGTTATTGTTTTTGTTGTTAGGTCTTAATTTTCGTTTTGCTTGTAGCTCTGTGGGATCAAAAATAAACACGTCCAGCGCGCACGAGCTGTTCACAACGACTGAATGAGACTAGCTTAGACACGCTTTAAGCCAAGTTATTTCCAGTGCAGCGCAAAGCTTTGGAAGCGCCACTTGTGGACGTCATCGTCATCGTCTCATTCCACGATTCGCGATCTTGGCTTGTTTTGCTTAACTGCTTTGGTTTTGCGCTTTTGTTTTGGGCTCTCCATTCGCCTTTACCAGTTACCAGTTGCCGTTGCTCACTAAAGACCTGAGAGTTGAGAGCTGAGAGTGGCGAGTGGTTTTCGTGGCGTTTCCGTTTATGAAACGCATTTTGGTCTGTTCTGAAAGATTTTTTGTATCTCTCTTGTCTTATGCTCGCTCAGTGAGAAGTGAGAAGAGGGAGTATGTGGTGCAGTTTTGGAAGGTGGATTTGAGTGGATGAGTTTCAGATAAATATATGAGTTGAGATGAGATGAGTTTATGATAAATATGGACTTGCATATATAATATTAGAGATTTGTTGAGCACATTTATTTATTCTTTAGATGTTACGAAGAACTCATAGTACTATTTGTCTGGTAATAATATTTTAAATTTAATAGCTTTTTGCTGAAGTTGGAATAATTATATATTAACTTATAGTTATCAGATAATATTGATATGCAAGATATGTATGCAAAAGTAATACATCTGACGTTAAAAATCGAAATGAATTCTTCAGATTAGTCAGATTTAGATTATTGAGATTATTATTCAGATTATTTAAATTAAGCTTCTTCAGATCATTAAGAAATTCGACCTATCTTTTCTTTTTTACTTACCACTGAATGAATTCGCTGCTTGCATTCTTATAAACTCTCTCTTTCCTTCACAATGCAAGCGAGCATTGTGCAGTCGCTCACAGCCGACTCGCGTGCTCTTATTTGATTTTCCCACTCTATTTTAATGGACTTCACGTTAATTATTGATGACTTTGTGGTTTTTCTCTCCTCGTAATTGAACAATTTGTTGACTCGCTGCGGCTTATTTCAAAAGTTATTGATTATAAAAAAAAAATAAATAAATAAAAGTACAGAAAAAAGTAAACGCAGCTTGAGCTATTAACCTCACCCCGTCCCTTACTTACCCTTAGTGCCAGCCCTAGCTCATAATAAGTCGAAACAATAAGTTTTCTTTCATTTCTCAAGAATTTCTTTTTTCTTTTCTTTTGTTTTGTTTTGATTTTATTTGTATTTTTTAGTGTTTTTTTTTTTTTGTGTATTTTGTTTTGTTGTTCGTTTGTTACCCTTGCAGTTGTTTCTCTTGGTTTTTTTTTTTTTTTTGGCTTGTGGCTAAACACACACACGGCTTTAAAATGCGGTTCTTTGTTTATATATATAGATGTATATATATATATATGATCGAACTGAACGATCATAAGTACATAATTATTTCGGGTATACAGGTGTTTTTAAGATAAGCTCGATTCACTTGCTGCAAATCGGCGCTGCTCTGAATATTATCTTTAAAAAATGCCTTTAATTTGTTTCATTTGTTTCTCGACTTTTTCGATTTTTAGTTATGATTTGGCTTTGTCTTCATTTTACTGCTGTTCTTATATTATATTTTTTGTGTTTTTATTTTATTTTATTTTTTATTATTTTTGGTTTTGTTTTATGAATGAAGTCATGCTGAATTAATTTATTGTATAACCTTATAAATTAATTAATTAATTTATAGTCACAAAATAAAGCTATAAATTTTTATATTTGTTTTTTTTTGTTTTTGTTTTAATTTTTTTTTATTTATTGAATTCATAAACTTATTTAGCACATCTCGCATCTGTGAAGTTCTACGATCCAAATATTTCTTCTATTATAATTAGCAACAACACAACCAAATCGATGTAGTTTCTTCTCTTTCTCTAAACACTTTCCTTAACCCCACTCCCCCGTCCCATCCCATCCCTGCGGTCCCCTAACAAATGGCATAACAAAAGAATCCAGAGGTTAACTCAAAGCCGACCAAAAAACAACAAAAACTACCGAAAGGCGTAAGTTAAATATTTGGATTATATATGCTCTCGTCTTATGTGTGCTACGCTAAGAAGCAATAAGTTTCATTCAATGTAATATTATTAAATAACGTTCTCTTTCTCTCACTTGGCTAACTAAAAAATCAAAAAATCTTCAACAATTTCTTTATGCATAAATTTCTTCTCATTTAGTGTTCGTTTATAGTTTTTGTCTCATTTTCATTTAAATACTTGTTTTGTCTTAGATGAAACCCCATTTTTTATGTTTATTGTAATTATTTAATTAGGCATATTAATGAATAAACTTTTTTTATTTTCATTTTTGGTTTTTGATTTCTATAATAATAAATTGCAATAATGCTTCGAAATGCAATTAGGTATTAAACTATGAAAAGGAATTTTGTAAATTTTGTTAGAGCTTTATTTTTGGGTTTTTTTTACGTAAATTAGAGGAAAAAATCTAAGAGAAAATGCTAACAAAATGAATTTTGTGTTTCATATGGAATTTCCATCCAGCAGCATGAAGTTTTCAATTAAGATTTTCTTGTGTTTGTTTTTAGGTCTTTTTTTTTAATGGGATTTTTGCTCACAGTTCGAGCGACAAATAGCACATTAACTAGCGGCTTATAGACACTCAATCAATCAATCAATCAATCATTGATACACTTAATTTAGTAGCCTAGTTTCATTTTGTTTTTGTTTTTCGTATATACTCGTAAATATTATTTCATTTCGATTTGAGTGTGTAGTGTAGATGGGTGTGTGTGTGTGTGTGTGTTGACACAGAACATTTGTCTGAAATATTATTTTTGGTCTTCTCTTGTACAGATCTAATTGGTAACTAATTAAGTTATATCTAGAATTCATTCATTTTCATTTCATTTCTGTTTCTGTTTCTGCTTTGTTTTTCTTTTGTAATATATCTAAATTCTTCGGTCTTCGATCACTTAAGCCTGCAGTGCGTTCCCATATTATGGGTTTACCAAAAATCATCGCTTAGTTCTGCTACAGAACTTACTCTACAGCATCATCATCATCTCATCATCATCATCATCATCATCATCATCAACATCGTCAACATCATCAGCATCTTTGTCTCGTCTTAACTCAAATGTGATTTTCAGCATTCGTTTTATAGCTTGGCAACTAACTAACATTACAATACATTTAGATCTTTCAGTTAAGAGTAACTATATATATATATCATATATTATATATTATATTAAATATATAATTTTATACCCAATGCCATATTACATATAATATTTACTAATATAGTAGTACAATATAATATTGCATTAAAAGTTCTTCGACTGCTTCTTTTTTCTCTCTATTTAACTATTGTTTTATTTTTATTATTTTTAAATGTAATTTATGTGTATGTTTTTTCTTCTTCTTTTTAGTATTTTTTTTTTTTGTATGTCTGTTGTATGCTGTGGCAGTTCTTTTCCAATAGTACAAATATTTTGCATATTTTTTTTTTTTTTTTTGTGTTTTGTCTTACATTTTTTCTTCTTTAAATATTATTTTCAATTTTTTAAAGTAAATCGTTTCCCATATACACATCTAGTAAATTTTTTGTTGTTTGTCAAATTACAATTAGCAAATATTACATTACGCTAATTATTCATATTAATTTCAATTTTAAATTAAATTATTTGTATAGTAATTACCGTTATTTGTGTGTTTTGTTTGTGTTCGTGTCTTTTCAAGTTAATTATTTGTAGTTTTTTTTTTTTCGATTTTTTTTTTTTTTTTTCATTTTGATATTCTCTAATTGAATCCTTAGAAAGATAATATTTACAATGCAAATTACATACAATGCGCAATGGATTAATAATGTAGGTTTTTAAATTATTACATTTTATTTGTTTATCTAATTATTAAAATTAGCGAAGTTCAAACAAAACCCTAATGATGCTATATACTCTATGCGTATAATGTAAGTGTGTATGGCAAAAAGTTTTAGGTTCGTCTATATATATCTTATATTTATGTAATTAGAGACAGATAGATAGATAGATAGAGAGAGAGATAGAGTGAGATAGAGGACTACAGCTAGAGCTGTTAAATAACAGTTTATATGGCTTGACTCCATGAGCTGCTTATCGGAATATCTATTAAAGCTTTTCCGATTTCGACTAATTTAATCGTTTTAATCTTAGCTTAAGTTTAAGTTTGTCTTTTTGGTTTTGAATTTGCAATTTAGTTTACTGGTTATTAGAATTATTTTGTAGATATTAGATTTATGTACATATTGCATTGACCTATGCAGACCTTAGTGGCAGTGCCCTTTTAGTGGGAGAGGGAGGGGGGGTGAATGTTGAATGGCCTTTTGTTAGCCAGCACTTTGCGCTCTTTTGTCTCTTCTAGTTTCTCCAAACTGCCATCTCATTTCTCTTTTGTACTACAGCGAGCAATATTTGTTGTTGCCTTTGTTGTTGTGTGTTGTTGTTTGTGTTGCATTGTTGCTGGCGCGTTGCATGCGTCGCAAGATTTGACCAGTTTGTTGCAGTCGCAACAGTCGCTGCTGCTGCTGCTGCTGCTGCTCCTGCTCCTGCTGCTGGTGTTGCAGTTGCAGTTGCAGTTGCTCTTGCTGCTCCTGTTGCTCCTCCCTCGATGTGTGGCTGTTGCTTGTGCTAGCAGCTGCTGCTCCTGTTCGCGTCGGGGTCAGTTGGTTAGTAAGGCAATTTGGCAATATTTCAACCGCATGCACAACAATCACACACACACACACAATCACATACGCACTCACACACACACACACACACAGATATAGAAACAGTATAAAACACACATGTACAACATATTGTGGGCGTATGGGGGCGTGACACACACACACGAACACAGTGAGTTTGAGAGAGCAAAAGAGAGTGACAGAGAGATAGAGACAGAGACAGAGAGTATGATGCAAATTCATATGAGGCGCATTTCGTAGCGGGCGGCAGCTCCACGCCCATTTCTCAAATATATATATATAATATATATATTGTATGCATTCTTTTTTTTTGGTTTTCTTTCGATTTTCTTGTATGAATCATGGAGTCATGAGGAACATGATATGTACACCATACCGATCGGCTGATGCTGATGGGGCAGCACGCTCCCGTGTTATATGATACTCTCGCGATTCCGTTCCAGCTCCTCGGCCTCGTTCTCTGGATCCACGCTGGACGTGGACGAAACGCCACAGATTTGCATTTCAATCTCAGCCAGACGATTCTCCAAGTCCCATTGCTGCTGCGAGAGCTTAGTGTTCAGAGCCTGATTCTCTGACTCAACGGTATGCAGACGTTCTCTCAACCGCTTAATCTCATCCTCGAGTGCCTCATGAGAGCCGAGCAGCGGTGTGGTGCCACCGCCAGCGCCACCCACGCCGCCGCCATAGCATTCCAGCTGCGAGCTCGAATCGCAAATGTGACCTGGGGGCGATAGAGAGAAATAGAGAGAGAGAGAGAGAGTGGGGGAGGGGGAGAGCGAAATAGATAGTGATTGGCATGAGTGAATGTTGAGTGGTGTGGGCTTCCATGTTGGCTTACCTGTATGACTCGGTTGCGACTGCGGCCGCATTGAGTGGTGCGAGGTGGCGCGACTCCTTGGCCTCTCCTCGGAGCCGTGTGCGCTGGGACTAATCGAACGCGGCGAGTCGGTGGCACGCACCAAATGCTCCGTATAGCTGCGTGGACTGCAAGCATTCAGTGTGGAATACGCAGCGACAAGGCAACAATCAAGACTCACCTGTAGCCATGTGAATGGGGCAGCTGCTGCTGCTGCTGCTGTTGTTGTTGTTGCTGCTGCTGCTGCTGTTGCTGTTGTTGCTGCTGTTGCTGTTGCTGCTGATGTTGCTGCACATGATGCAGCATATTGCCGGCAGCGGGGGGCAGCCACATGTCCTCCAAAGTGGTGCGACCGCAGCTCTCCACCAATCCCGGCGTTGACTGGCAACGGCCCATGGCAACTACATTAAAGTATTTGACTGTGTTTTAAAATCAAAAACGTTCACACCGCAAAGCAATTGGGGGAAAAGTTGGGAAACAACGAAAAGCAAAAGAAACAATCGATTTGTGTTATTCAGAATTAGGGGGAAGTCGTATTTCGTATTCGTATTCGTATTCTTAACGATACACTCAGAGAAAAGTGCTGTTTGAAGCCTTGTGAAGTTTTGAATAAGATAGAGAATATCTTGAACGATAATATTTATATATTACAATTTTATATTCGATTTCTTTTTAAGTTGAAGATAAAAAAAAAAAAATAATAATAATAATAATAATAATATTAAAAAGAATACAAGTGTTTTGATATAAAAATAATTTTATTATATATATATTTTTTAATTTTAATTTTAATTTATTTATTTTTGTTTTAAATTTTTTATGGTTTGCTAATGGAAGTCTTACGAGTTTTAAATATTCTAAAATATTTAGAGAATATTTCCTTATTTTATTCATTAACTTTTGAGCATGGAATATTGAAAATATTTCTGTCTACCACATTTTTAATAATTAATAATTGAACATTCATCAATAAAATTAATCTCTTTTTTTATAGTCTTTAAAACACTTTTTACTTATGAACTTGTTAATTTCAAATCAGTATTCATTAAATAAAATTTACTTAAATTTCCTTCAGTTTCTTCACTTCTTCGAGTGCATTGAATTTTCTCTGAGTGTATCTGGCACATGCACTGATTTCATTTGGTTTCAATTTCGAGCGGGGCGTGTGCTGTTTTGGGACTGTGATTCCGCTGCAGTTGTGCAGCAGCTGCAGGTCGAGTTAATGACTAGATGAGATGAGATGAGAGTTCTCCTACCTTTCTCCAGTGGCGCCTTCTTGTATTTCTCTAAGCGCTTGACGGCTATCGATTCGAGACGAACGCGAGCCGCTGGATATTCCTTGAGCACGTCCCACATGTCCTTTTTGCTGAGCACGAACAGATCGCTGTAGCCCACTGAGCGGACGCTGGCGGTGCGTCTGTTGCCTGTTGCAGGGCAGCAGCAAAGTGCCGCAATGTGGCAAGTTGCATTAAGTTGGCAAATGTGGCAAAGTTGCACGTTGTTGCGCGCGACAAAACAATCGAAGAGAATGCAGCAGGTGGTGAGTGGGGGGTGGGGGGGGACATAAAAAGTTTAATATCAATAACTTGCCAAAGGTATTTTACGTTTGTTATTGTTCTTGTTGTTGCTGTTGTTCTCTGTTGTTCTTATTGTTGAGTGCACACACAAACAGAGACACACACACGCACACACACACACACACACATATGCACACATTAAAATTGCATGCCAACCAGAAAGGTATGCAGGCAATTGGTTGCAAGCTGCACAGTTGAATTGGATTCAGATAGAAAGACAGTTTGTTGCAATTGGAAATTGGAAGTTGGGCAATTGGGTTGACAGTTGCACACAGAGAAGGCATTTATTGGATGCACAAGTGCTACACACATACAGCAGCTACATATAGATCAGTTATGTATGTGTCTGTGTTGTCTGTCGTTTCGTTTGTCGCTCGTGTTGGGGCCACCATTTGCTACAATCAAGCAGCAAGCAGCAGGCAGCAAGCAGCTAGCAGCTAGCAGCCATAACAGCAACAGTTTACTCAGCTCAACAGCTAAATTTGTGCTTTGCATTTTTATGGAATACAATTTGAAGCTGCGACCTGCTCAGTTCCTGAGTTGCTCTTTCAGCAAGAATTTCAATCTGAATACGTAACTATTTGCGCAGAATATTTACATTTCCGCTTTTACTTGTTATACTCTTTAGACTCTTTAGAGTTCAAGTTAATATCTGCATTAAATTATTGTCAAGTTCCATTAGGTAAAGTGCTAGAACAGTCACTTTTCACTTAACTAGCTGTTAAATATTTGCACCGCAGAGCGTTGCCACCTAGTTGTAATTTATTAATATTGAGCATGTGGCTATGCCGAAAAGGCTAATATCAAGTTTACTTCAAAACTTATGTTTAGTATTGCAGCTGGTAAATATCTACTATGGCGTTGCCACCTTGTTAAAAGTAATCTGTAGCTAAGTTAGAACAGTAGTTTATATGGGAATTATAATAGCATCATAGTGACAAACTATAAATTTTGGCCAACTTATTTTGGGCACATATGGCAACGCCGAATTTTTTACTAGATAAGCATCATCACTAACTATAGTGGCATCATCTTCATACATCGACTTTAAACACAGTCCATACTTTTGTGTTATTAACTATACGCATTATTATATAGAAGACAGTGTTGCCACCTAGTTCTGTTTTATAAATAAAAAGCAATGCTAATTGAATTGAGTGTAATGCTAGGTTTACATGTAAGTTCATGCATAAGAGCCTTTCAGATATTTATGATGCACAGTGTTGCCACCTTGTCTGACATACTTTATAGCTAAGCATAAACTTGATAACTTCTATTTATTTTTGACAGCATCTACCTAAGAAGCTTCTAATTTTGACACGAAAGAATTTTATGGTGTTTGGGCGTTGCCACATTGCTGATATATACAACTTTAGTAAACTTGATCAAAATCCCGTAATTTGAAGCTGCCTCTAAAAGCGCTCTGCGCAACTGTTACGTAAACTATATGCAGAGTGCATAAATTTGGAATACCTTAAAGCTGTAGTGAAGTTGTAGCAAATGTTGTTAACTGTTTAGTGTAATTGAATAGAAAAAGTTGACGTGCAATTTGAAAAGTATTTGAGTTTAAATGTGTGTGTGTGTGTGGGTGTGTTTTGGTGTTTGTGTGTGGTGCATGTTTAATTGTGGCAACAACAGGGCGTATACTTAATTTAAAACACTGTCAAAACACAATTCAAAACGTTTAAATTACGGCCAGGCAAAGCAATACAACAACGACTCACACAGTTACAGTTAAGAGAGGCATGGAGACAGTGGTTGGGCTGAGTAGAAAAATAAATTTAATAGACAATATTCGATCACAACTACGAGACATAGAGACTGTGAGAGTGAGTGAGTGAGAGAGAGAGAGAGAGAGAGAGAGAGAGAGAGAGAGAGAGATAGGAAGGACTAATTGGATTGTGTAGAGTGTGTGTGTGGGTGTGTGTGTGGGGAGGGTGGGGTTTGATGAAAGCGCTCAAGTCATGCAGGTAAACTAAACGATTCGATTCAAGTTTCGCAACGGCAGCAACAGCAGGTGACAACAGCTTGACAACAGCTTGACAGCAACTTGGCCAATTGTCTGTCAAGCAGGAGTCGACAACTAATTGAGCTAGACGAACCAAAAAGTTTTACTTAACTTTTGTCAGCCTTTTATCAAATAGAATTAAGTTGCTCAGTTGCTGCCGCTGCTGTTGCTGCTGCTGCAAATCGAATTAGGCAGCTGCAAGTCAAGTATGCAATGCCTGCCACACACACACATAGACATAGAGAGAGAGTGAGAGAGAGAGAGAGAGTGAGAGAGAGACTCATATGGGCACATGTTATGCATGCGCTAAGATTAATTTTGTGCATTGTTGTTAATTAAATGCCACAAATAAGAGCTCTTTATATATATACATATTTCTATATATACACACATATACAATATATATATTTGCAATTGCCAGCACGTGACTTATCGCTGCAATTTACGGTCGACTTGCGTTCACTTTTAGTCAATTGTGACAAGGCTTTAAATTGCGCCCACTTGAATTTTGGTTTTGGTTGCAAATGAAATCAAAATTTACTTTGACATTGACAATAAATTGCGCATTATTATTGCTGATTTAAGCCGATTTTATTGAAGTCTATGGCAATTGTTTAATTTTTCAATATATATTTATGGTATATGCAATATATATTGTGTTTGCAGCTCAATAAAACGTGGTGCATGCAGGTGTAATAATTGCATTTGCCATTCATTAATTTTGTGTGCGGCCAGCAGGGCATTTAAAAGAGACAACAATAACTTGTTGTTTATTCATGTGTGTGTGTGTGTCTGTGTGTTTCTGTGGGTGTGTGCTTTAAAAGCGCATTGCATACTTTTAGGAGCGGGCTATGAAAACAATTTTTCGGCACAAAACTGTAAAAATATGTGAAGGAGAAACAAAAATTGTTTTGCATTACTGCAAACAGTGCATGAAAACAGAGCATAAAAAAGTTAAATAAAACAATGTTGAAATGTAATTTAACTATGACTACAGCTAGACGAAGTTTAAATACACTAACGGAGCTGAGTGGGAAAGAGCTCAGAGGTAGTTAAGCTGTATGTAGTTGTAAGGCAAGTCTATTATATACACGATGGCCCTTGAATAAGCCTTGTCTATGCCTCATAGAGTTCAAAGGCTGAGCTGTGCGTGCTTCGAGCCTTGACTTTGTAGCTGCTCTGGGCAACACGAAACTCCATACAAATACCTAATTTAGCACACCTGGCGCACATGTTAGCTTGATAAGATTTTTTTGACATTTGTGTCACATATTTGAAGTGAAATATTCTTGAGTAGGGTCAAGATTTGATTGAAAAACGCTTTGGACAGCTGATTATGTCAATCAATGGAATAGTAGTAGATGAGTAGTATTAGAAATAGTAGTATATGGTAGTATATAGTATTATATAGTAGTATATATAGTACAATATAGTATTAGATCGTGGTAAATTTGGTAGTATTTAGTAGTATCTATAGTAGAAAATAGTAGTAGACCGCATTAAATTTAGTAGTATACTGCAGTGAATCGTAGTATATTTAGTAGTAGATCGTTGGTATACAAATTAGTAGATGGTAGATTATCTTAGAAGATTGTAAAGCGACAGGGTTTTATATATGCTATCATATGATGCTGACGAGCTATCAAAAGTTGTCCAAAATCACTAGTAGAGCAGCTATTGAGACATCTTAAATACTCTAAATTTATAATTTATATCGCTTGCCAAAAATAAGGTAATTATAGCTTATCACCAACGAAAATAATGAAAATGAAATATTGCTTTATTTATTTTTAATCTATAACAGACCCAATACCAAATGCTAAATACCCCCGCTGTTAGTGTATGCGAAAAACAATTGAAAATAAATATATATAAAATAAATTTTAAAAAATAATTTCCAAATATTTACTGCAATTTGTTTTATTTTTATTTTTCGGATGTTGCGCTCCATTGAATTTTATGCCAAAGAGGGTAAAAGTAATTAATTAATGTGCGAAATAATGAAGACAGTGATAAAGTGGATGTGATGAGAGTGTGAGTGTGAGTGTGAGCGTGAGTGTGCGTGGGTTTAATACAAGATAAGTTAGTTGTGCGACTAAATGAAACGCTTGAAGAGCGTTGACTCACTTTAAAGTGATTTGTGCAACGGAATATATAATTAAGGGAACTTTGTTTTGTATATCACTAAGTATACACATAGAGTTATATATATATATATATAGACGAGCAAAAACACTTAGCTAAGGAATTATTGATTAAAAACTGGTTGTGTGTGTTTTATGGTTAATTGCTGTAGATGTTCAATGTATTTTTTGTTGTTTCTGTAGTTGTTGTAGTTACGTTAATTCATTTTTTTGCTTGTTTGATTTGATTTGTTGCTATTGTTCCGCCTGTCGCACTAAAACGGGATATTTACCAAGTTCTTTACCTGCGGTGCCCATATTCAGTATACTAATTTCGCCGAAATAGGAACCTGCCTTTAACGAGGCCATCACCGTCTTGCCATTGTCAGCGACGACCTGTAATCGTCCACGATTCACAATGTACATCTCCTTGCCCACCTCGCCTGCAAAGCGCAGAGAGACAAAGACAAAAACAGAGACAGAGAGAGAGAGAGAGAGAGAGAGAGAAAGAGAATGAAAGAGTTATTCAGTTTTAAATATAAATATATGTATATAATTATATATATGTGTGTATATAAGCTGGTCAGTTACCTTTGCGGCAAATGTAATCGCCCGGAGAGAAGAGTACGGGTCGCAGTCGCAGCACCAATTCGCAAAGGAAACCAGCTTCGGTATTTTGAAAAATCTCAACCCGCTTAAGTGTATCTAAATGGACGTTAATTGCTATTTCAGCCTGCAAAACAGAAACAGAAACAGAAACAGATATAGCAACAGTAACAGAAACAGTATTAAGAGCGAGCCAGGAGGGAGAGGGAAGGAGAGGTTCGGCTCTGTTACACAGAGCATTAAAGGACAACAGAACAAACAAAAGGAAATGAAAAAAAAGAAGAATGAAAGTAAAAGGAAAGCCCGGCAACATGCCACACCAAATGGACAATTCGTGTTGCCACAGCAGCTGCTTTCAAAGCGAACTAGCAGCAGCCTCCTGCTGGAGCAGGAGCAAGATTAGGAGTAGAGAGAGGAGAGGGGAGGAAAAACTGTAACTGCGGCAGATTATTTACCTTTAATTTATCAGGAAGACAGGATACGGCGCGCTCCTCGTCTGAGCACTTTTGCGTGAGCCACAGGTAATCGAACCATTTGATGACCTTCACCTGCAGATGATTCGGAACACGCCGCATGCGCATGTACGTCTTAACTCCGTCCAGCTTGGCTGCAAATAGCAAAAGTACTCGATACATGTAGCACATACTTTCTCCATAGCTATCTATATCTCGTTACATATACATACATACATACGTATGTATGTATGTATCTCATATAAAGTAGCTTATAATATATGCACGCTTGTTTGTGCTTTGGATTACACGCAAATCGAAACGGTTGCCGCATACAAATGTCGAATGACCAGCGGCATTTTGGGTGCGGATGCTGGGCAACGGCTACGCCCAATCGCACCACCAAAGCCAACGAACAGCCACCTCATCCACCACTAATCGCTATGGCTTCCGACCAAATCAGCGTTTTGTTCTGCATAAATTTCATTATGCGCCCACACTGAGCGAAAAATTTTAATGTGATATTTCTTTTGAGTTGAGTTAGCTTAAAATATAATTTTTACCATTTAAAATTAATTTTTTTTTTATGAATTTACATACATATTTAACAGATTTTTCTTCTTTAGATTTTTTGCACATTTTTTTTAATAAGCTAAAAAATATTTAATTTTATTTAATACTCACAATTTTAGCATAAATTTTAATATATTTATAAATACAAATTTTCAAGAATTTTCTGCATAAAAAGGCGCCTACACTGAGAGAAAATGCTGCATAAAATCTGTATCATAATATTTATTATAGTCTATATTTTTTAAACATTTTATACAGCCTTTGCCATCGCTTTTTCTCTCAGTGTAAGTGCCCTATTGTGCTTTAGCTGATTAGCCAAAAGTTTCAACATGAAAAGAAATTCAATTGGCACCACCTGGCGTATGCGTAATATTAGTCTGTAATTAGTTATGGCTATTAGGAAATGTTTTCTGCTCTTGGGAATTTGTAAATGCTAGTCAATATTAGCAAAAAACAAAAAAGAAACAGAAAACAAAAGAGAAGATTCGATAACGGTTGTTCACCACAAAAATTGTGCTAAATGCACAGTCGGAGCAACGTTTACAGAGTGAATTATCGAAACTTACGTACGTTTGCGACAGCTAAGTGCAGTTCCGGACTTCTTTGTTTTGCTCTCAGGCGCTGTGTGAATGGATATGCGTGTGTGTGTGTGTGTGTGTGTGTGTGTGTGTATATATTTGAGTGGATAACCAAGCGGTGCTCGATGAGAGGAAATTAAATCTCTACTTGGCTCAACGTCACAGGCAACAAATATTGACACAATTTGTCGATTGACAACTGCGGTTTGCTGTAGATATTGGTGGTGTTGTTGTTGTCTGTTGTTGTTGTTGTTGTTGTTGCAGCTGTTGTTGGTGGCACATTGACAGACAACGACTGAGAGCTTTCGTCATGGGTGGCTGGGAGCAGTACCGAGTTTTGTTTGCTCGTGTAAACATCAGCAAACCAACTGGCAAACAAGCAAACAGATTGAAAACAAATAAATAAAATTGCTTGTCGGCCCAGCAGGCACAAATGCCAAGCGAGACCCAGCTCCCAGCCCAACTTCAACTAATTTTGCAGCTCATCTATAATGCAAGTGAAGGCCACTTGGCCCACATTCATTTATCATAGCATCATTTGTCCAGCTCAATACCTTGTCGCCCAATCAGTCAGTCGAAGTCCGTCCGTGTGAACAGCTTGAAACTTTCATTACAGCAACAACAAACAATTCTGTGTGTGTGTGTGTTGGCCTGAAACTTTCGTTAGCAATATTATTGCAATCGGAAAATTACATTCAATTCGAAAATTGCTTGAATAACTTCACAGCATAGAAATCAAAGACATTCTATCAGCTATGAGTCAGCCAAGAAGACCATTAGCTAAATATAAACAGTTATCTCTGATAGGCAACTTGCAAGCAAATAGCTGCCCATTAAAATTATTAAAATTTCTCCTATCGCCAACTATTCAATTTGTTTTATCAGCTGATTCCTGCTAAGTCTTCTTGGATTCCAATAGCCAATAGATAAGCATTATTTAAAACTGATAAGCAGAACTGCAAGCAGTATATAAGCAGCAAATCCATCAACCGGTTAGTTAGTAACGAATTCTAAAGTCTTTGCAATATGTTGTGGCATCAACTAATTATTTTCGCCATTGTGGCCCTTGCGTGCACCCAGCTGCACGTGGCTAGCAGCCAAACAGCTGGCGTCAGCACCTGCCCAAAGAATTTCACCCTGGTGGGCGAGAAGTGTCTGCTTGGCGTGAGCAACGTGTACAACTGGTACGAGGCCGATCGCAATTGCCGCACCAAGGGCGCCGGAGTGCTTAGCCTGAGCAGTGATAAGGAACTGCAGTTGGTCACTGATTGGCTAAATAAAACCATGCAGTTCACCCTGGAGCTGTGGACCTCGGGCTCCAAGCTGGGCAGCTCGAGCATCTACTACTGGCAGAGCACGGGTGAGCAGGCGCGCTATCTACCCTGGGCCACAGGCCAGCCCAAGCCAACTAGCGGCGACTGCCTGATGCTCAGTGGCACCTATTCCACCACATCTGTTAGCAACTATCGCCTGGTGGTTCGCAGTTGCGCCGAATGGGCTGCTTCGGTGTGCGAAGTGGTGCCAGCCAAAAATACGACTACACGCATCTGCCTCAAGCCGAATGCCTACGAAACGGTGCAAGTGATTGGAAATTAAATATATTTAATATATAAATAGAAGACTATAAAAATTTGTGGTGAAGGAAGTCTCATATATATGTTTGAAAAGAGAACTCGAAATTGTTAGGAAATAAAGGAACAGAAATAAAATTGCATGAAAAAAAAAAAAAAAAACAATTTTTTGTTTCCTATATCATGATCTATACTACTTTGAATCGTATATTCATATACGTAGCTGGAATGTTCGACTTAAAAAACATTTATCTCTTAGAATACATGACGTATGCCCAAATGACAATATATATTTTTAAAGAAAGAGAGACAGAGAAATAAAGAGATAGAGAGAGAGAGAGAGAGAGGGAAGAAGAATCTATCGTCTATTCCCTGAATTCCCAGTCGAATGTATTTCATATTTTCACGACACTATGAATAATTCGAAATGTCTATAAATTTTATTTTGTTTACTTATTGTTATCATTGGAATAAATACTTTTAAGCTGGCAATGGACAATTGATATGCGTTATCGATTCTATTCGTATTCTTATCGCTATTGTCATCTTTATCAGACCCCTCTGCAAGCTATAAAAGGTCTATTCCCGTCGTCTGTTTATTGAGTAATGGAAAACATGTTGTGGCCGAAGCTGTTGGCCTTTGCGTTAGTCAGCCTGTCGCTGACTCAGCTGCATTCGGCCAGGCTCGGCGATGCTGCTGCTAAGGAGTGCAGCGAGAACTTCACTCGACCTGGAGACAAGTGGAGCGATTACTTTCAAGCGGATCGCTACTGTCGCTCTAGGGGAGCTGGCGTGATAAGTTTTCGACACGAGACGCATTTGGAATTTTGGACCTCGAACATTAACAACCAAAGTCTACTATGACTGTCAACTAGGTTAGATGGCTAAAGAAATTTTAGATTAAAGTTCTGTTTAAAAATGGCTTCTTATTGCTAATCATCTGTTATATGTATATCAATATATAGTTAGCAAACTATAGAGAACAATTTCATCAGCTGTGAAGTTGGTCTAGGATATGTGGAAAGTATCTTTCATTCGAATGCTGTCAGCTATGAGTCATACCAGAAAACTATTAGCCTAAGTCAACTCTGATAGGAAACCCTCAAAACAAAAAGCTGCCCATTGTAATTATTAAACTTCCTCCTATCACCAACTCTTCAATTTGTGTTATCAGCTAATTCCTGCTAAGTCTTCTGGGATTCCAATAGCCAATAGATAACCAATTATTTATAACAAAATTTTATGAATGAGACACGGGTCAATCAAAAGTGAACCCGCTTATCATATCGCCAAAAGCAAATGATAAGCAGAACCGCAAGCAGTATATAAGCAGCAAATCCATCAACCGGTTAGTTAGTAACGAATTCTAAAGTCTTTGCAATATGTTGTGGCATCAACTAATTATTTTCGCCATTGTGGCCCTTGCGTGCACCCAGCTGCACGTGGCTAGCAGCCAAACAGCTGGCGTCAGCACCTGCCCAAAGAATTTCACCCTGGTGGGCGAGAAGTGTCTGCTTGGCGTGAGCAACGTGTACAACTGGTACGAGGCCGATCGCAATTGCCGCACCAAGGGCGCTGGAGTGCTTAGCCTGAACAGTGATAAGGAATTGCAGTTGGTCACTGATTGGCTAAATAAAACCATGCAGTTCACCCTGGAGCTGTGGACCTCGGGCTCCAAGCTGGGCAGCTCGAGCATCTACTACTGGCAGAGCACGGGTGAGCAGGCGCGCTATCTACCCTGGGCCACAGGCCAGCCCAAACCAACTAGCGGCGACTGCCTGATGCTCAGTGGCACCTATTCCACCACATCTGTTAGCAACTATCGCCTGGTGGTTCGCAGTTGCGCCGAATGGGCTGCTTCGGTGTGCGAAGTGGTGCCAGCCAAAAATACGACTACACGCATCTGCCTCAAGCCAAATGCCTATGAAACGGTGCAAGTGATTGGAAATTAAATATAGAAATATAGGACTATAAAAAATTGAGGTGAAGAAATTCTCATATATGGATCTTGATATTGTTGTATAAAGAAAGATTTCAAAATAGTGAACAGAAATAAAGTGGCTTTAATTGCAAGCTCGTTGTTAACTAATGCCACGATCTATGCTAAGCTGAATCGTATAAACTGTAAAATGGTAGACACAATGATAAGATTTAGATTCCAATATAATAATTTTCCAATATATCTCATTAGATTCTCAATAAAAGTATTCCAAGAGAACATGTATGTAGGAATTGCATTTGGGCCTATGCCATCGACACTGTTTAAGCTTGGATCTATTTTAGGTCTCTTTACGTCTTAGTTCAATCTTATAATTTATCTCTCTTGCTCACTTTCTCCCTTGCTCTCTCCCCAATTACTCTATCTTTATGCTCAGTCTTTATTTACAGCTTTCTCAATGCTTTATAGCTCACATTGCTCGCATTGACGACATTGCATACTGTTGGGCTTATCCGTTTGCTGTTTTAAATACTTTGCATGCTTCGCCATGAAGCGTGTTACTTTGTGGGTTCTCCATTTGTGTTGTTGTTGTTGCTGTTGCTGTTGGTGCTGCTGCTGTGTGAGAAATATTGCGTAAGGGATGCTCTCAGCTGTATCGGATATCGAGGTATCGATTATCATACTTCCCTATTTCCTCTTCCCTCCACCCGCTTCGTCCTTCGGAAAACATAAAAAACTTTACTCATTGGCAACGAAATGCAAGCAAGGATTATTGCATGGCAACGCGACAGCGTCTTGGCAGAAACACACGCACACATAACCATTACATACAACGGATATAAATCCTTGCTCTTGCCGATAGCAAAAACACACACACACTCAACAAACTCACACATACATATATACATATATACACAGCTGTGTAGAAGCAGCAGGGCGACAGTATGCAAAATTACAGCGATTTTTATTGCGGTTCTGCTTGACTGCATGACACCGCTAACATTCCGGCAATGAAACCAGCGACGTGAGGGTCTTTGAATAGGGCGTGGATTTATGTGTGTGTGCATGTGCGTGTGTGTGTTAGCTTTGTTTGTGCATGTCACGTTACGCTTTGTGAGTTATTTTTTAACAATTGAAAATCAATCTAAATATTAATTGCATAGTCCAGGCAGAGCATTTTATTCAAATCGAAATTCCCCAAAAAAAAAAAGTAATAAAGACCTTCTATAGATGCATATACATACATATATACTATATACAAGTATATCCATTGTCTGGCTTGTTCTCGGCTCAATAACTGTGGTTCGGTTGTTTATGTAGCAATTATTTGAGATTTAATTTCTGCTCTCTGTGGCTGCTTCTGCTTCTGTTGCTGTTGCTGCCCAGTTTTATCCTTAGCTGCATTTCATTCTGCTTTCAACGCATTTTTCCATTCCGTTGCATTTTGCCGACACAAAATTTAATTTGCCATTTTGCCCCGAAGTAAGCCACAGCGCTGGGGCGTGGCTAGCCAAGGGGCATTGCGGTTCGGTGGGGTTTCGGTGGCAGCACGAGCCATAGGGGGGTTGTTGGGGTTTTTGTAAACTGCATTTGGCTTCACATCTTGGCCGCACACATTTTTCTTCAGATTTGCCGTTGTCGTTATTTTTTTTGTTTTTTTTCTTCTCATATTTATTTTTCATTTTATGCTCTGCTTGGCCACAGTTGCCACAGGCGCATTTTGATATGCTGCTGCTGCTGCTCCTGTTCTTGTTGCATCAACGTGTAGCATACACACATTTTTGTGTCGCCTGACCACCTTTAGCACTAATCTATAACCATAATTGCATTTAGAGTTTTAAGAGCTCAATGGCCAGCAAAAATTGTGACCACGGAGCTACAAGTCGTCCGACAGTCTGGCAATCAAGACAATTGTCGCTGGGCTTGGGATTAAGTGCGTGCTGCCAAGGAAAACAAAGAAAGTGCAAAAACACAGAAAAAGCAGAAGAAAATATATGAAGAGAAATGAAAAAAAAAAAAAAACTTGTCATGTGTGAGTTTTTGCCTTTTGTGGCGCAACAATATAAAAATCTGGGGTGCAAAAGTTCAGGCCATTGTCTGTGGCAAACAAACTGCAGTCAAGTTTCTGCTGCAGGATGCAGCAGCAGCAGCGGCAGCAGCAGCTGGGGGAGGCGTGTGGGCGTGCCATGAGTTTATACAAACAGTAAATATGCGTGACAAAAACTTGCTCTTCCTGCCTTTTCATAAGCCCAAGACAAAAAAGCACATGAACCATGCTGATAGCCAGGGTTATATGGTGTTTGGTCTCTGAATACATACATATATATATCATATATATATATATATAAATGGGAGTGTGTGAACTTGTGGGTAACTGGCCAAGTGAAAATTGCAAACTAACTAGAAACCACTTAAGAGCGACGCTGATGTGCAAGCGCCTGCACGCTGAGCTCAAAACAAAGAGCTCTTCGAGCCCTGACTATGAAAAAAAAAAAACAAAAACAAACTAAAAGTTCTTGGCGGAACTGCATTCAAAAATAAGTGGAAGTTGATGTCGGCAAAAAAAATGGCTTAATATGGAGCTGATATGTTATGGGGAAATGATTCAGAAGTAGTTTCAGCCGAATAATGCATCAATTTCATGAGCTTAAAACTGAGCGCAAAGAAATTATCCTCCCACAGCTGGAGGAGTGAGTTTGTAAGTTCGCGGGCTTCAATTTGATTTATGGGCGAGTAATATGTTTATATTAAATATTTACGAGTAATGTAAGCAATTTGAATAAGTGAAGAGCGTTGATAGTGGGAAAGTTTATATTGGAGAGGTACTGAAGAATGTTTATATATTTTGGGAATGTTTTTCATTATTTTTATAAATAGTGTATTAATATTAGATTTAATTTATAAACTCTATTTTTGTATCCTTTTTTAAATTATATTTATTTTTTCCACCTCAGGGCACTCATACAGCCAAAAATAATTAACATTAAATCAGTCTGAAATAATAATAAATATTTTTTTGAGTCCAAAATTTTAAACTCTTTCTACCTATAAATTTAGAAAAAAAATTCGATATTTATATATACATTCATTTAAATTTCAAATATGTTTTTCACCTCAAAGCTATTTGCAAATGCATTAAATATTAAAGGTTTAACGTAGAGAGAGTGGGAGAGCGAGAGGCAGAGAGAGTAAGTGAGAAGAAGAGGAATATCTTAAAAGCTGATATAATTGAATATAGTTGAAAAAGCTTGCTTAAGCACTTATAGCATCCGCTGTAAAAACCCCGGTTGGTGGGATTTTCTTATGTGCACTCGCCTGAAGTTTTCCAGAAAAACCAATTTGTATCATTAATTATGCATATGCGGTTGCCGCTGGAGCACGCGAACTTGATGAAGTGCCTGATGATGTTGAATGTTGAATGCTGAATGCTAAATGTTGTTGTACGCTGTTGGCTGAATGCTGAACGCTGTATGTTATGTGTGTAAGTATGTGTAATGCTTGATGCTCTCGTAGATTTGTTCGGGCGGCAAACAAATATAAATGCGCTCCGTTAGCCAGCGATGCAATAACAATAACAATAACAATGCGCATGCCAGCTTCAGCTGCAGTCAGAACACTCGCCACATCCTTGGCAAATTCGCTTTTCAAGGATAATGGAATATTTTGCCCTTAAAGAGCAGCTACATGCATGCCACACAATGCCAGCAGTAGCAGCATCAGCAACTACAGCAACAACAACAACAACAACAACAACAACTGCGGCAGCAACAAGAAAACAGCCATGTTCTAAAAATACGACGGTAAGTTGGCGTACATGCAGCTTAATGGGCAAAAGCGGCCAACAGCGGCGACTGCGTCTACAATATTGATTGGAATATACACACACACACATACATACGCGCACACACACAAATATATACACACACATAGTTACACATAGAAGCGCACTCACGGTTACAGCTGTAGGGCATAAGCAGCAGCAGCAAACATAAACACACACAGTAATACACAGCTAGAAAGACTCACACAAAATCACACACACACACATGCACGCATACATAACCATGCCAGACGGGCGACGAAGCATTGCTGTTGCTTTTGTAGTTGTTGTTTCGCTGTGGCAAGCGAGAGCAAACAGCGAAACGAACAACAACAACAACTAGCAGTTGAAACCAACGAAATTCGCACACACACACACAAACACACGCTCACCAATACAGGCAAAGCGGCCAAGTTAAAGTGGATAATGGACGCTGCCTTGACTGAAGACTGAGGCAAAGGCAAAGCAAAGGAAATAGCAAAGGCAAAAGGCAAAGGCAAAAGGCGAAAGAGCGAAATTCGAATACGAATTTGTGCGTCCCTCTCTTTAACTCGTGCGTACGTCGCTCATATCTATTTTTAGACACGCGCTCATTGTGCGAGAGCAAAGGCAACAGCAACAACAATTGCTGCAAGTAAAACGTAAAAAAAAAACTAATAAAAATGAAGAGGGCAAGAGTGAGATGGCGAGCGGTGTAACGGGTTCAACTCAAAATGGCTGCACGTAGAGCACTACAAATCTCAAAGTAAAGAGTCAGTGCCCAGCAGGAGCATATATATGAATGTGTGTGTGCGTTTGAGAGAGAGTCTGGATGTGCGTGTATGTGTGTTTGTATGAGTAAATTGAGCGCATAAATTGTTTTAATTGCAGTAAACAACATCAGCTAAAGGCAAAGCAAGCAAGTGACCAGCTGAAGCAGCCGCAGCCACAGCCATAGCAGCAGCAACAGAGCGAATAACTAGACACACACTCACCCACACACTCACAGTATACCACATTGTCGTGTTGTATGCAGAACATCAATCACAAGCGTTGACAGCGCTGCTGACGCATAATTTGCATAAAAAACTATTTACAATAATAATTACATAGGAGCTGGCAGGCCGGGCGCTGGCAACAAATTAACATAATTTTGAATGGCATATTCGAAAAGCATTTTCTGGATTTGTGCCACAAGCGCCAAAAGCAATGACAGCAGCAGCGGCAGCAACGGCAGCAGCAGCACTTGCAGAGCATTTAAAGTTTGCGCCTGTTTAGCGTTAACAAGCCGCAGCCATGGCGTTTAACTAAGCGTGAATGTAACTTGTGTAGGTGTGAGGGTGTGTGCGGGTGTGCAGACGTGCGTGCGTGTGTGTGTGTGTGTGTGGGTGTGTGAGACAAACAACATTGTTGCTAAAATGATTTTGAAAAACCATCAATAACTCAAATATAATGACAGTTTTCCACTTGTTGTTGCAAGCCAGTCAGCGAGGCAGTCAGAGAGGAGGGCTGTGTGGCAGTGGGGCAGGCAGCCAGCCGTTCCATAAGTGGGGCTAAATGGATGAATAACTTAAACCAGCTGCTTGTATAAGTCCCCTGCGCGTGTGTGTGTGTGTATGGTTGATGTGATGTTATGTAATGTAATAACGTCAATCAAATTTGAAAAAAGGCAGGCCAACTATTTGAAAATCAATTTTCATGCGCAACACAAGAAGAGCACAAGCAGAAGCCCTGATGAAACCAAGATGAGAACGCAACTGAGTTAAGATGAGAAGCAGGAGCCGGCTGGCTGGCTGGTTGGCTGGCTGGGAGCCCGCTCTGCCTGCCTGCGTGTTACTAAGTAAATATATAAGTTTTTAAGTTGTTGGCCAGAGGGAGTTTGCTTAATGTAGCAGAAGGCCATCACTAAAGTGTTGCGCCCTAAGCCATGACTAGAGGTATTTGCGATATTTGCCTCCAATGGAGAAAGATGAAATGCAAAGAAGGGGGAGCAGCTCAAGAAAAAGAGACAAAATAAAAAAAAAATAAAAAATAGAATAAAGAGAGGTGAAATGAGGAGGGAGCTAAAGTAGTTTCTAAATGCCAAGCGAAAGGTTGAGGTATCAGAGATCAGCGCAAAAATGTCACGCTCCAGGGTTCGTAATTATAGCAAACAGAGAAGCCGTAGCAGACGTCGGAGAAGAAGATGCAGCGAATTCTCATTATAAAAAAGGATTAGGTGTAGTTGAATCAGAAAAGTGAGCGTAAAAGTTTAATGAATATAAATTATCTTAGGAATTGTAAGCACTTGAGCAAACTTCAAGATTAATGACAGCCTAGTTAGACAGCTTTTGTTGTACTATTTTTAAGGCGACGACAACCCTTAAGAAATTATGTAAAGCTGGATTTCAAGTTTTATTGAAGAAAGTGAAAAGTTACTGGAAGTGAAAACAACTTTAAACTGTGCGTAAAGGTCTTTGGTAACAGATTTATGTGTTGAGTTTAATAGTTTAGTATTGAGCAACGTAAGCCGGAAGGGAAAGAGAGAGAGAGATCTTCATAATAAATGACGATGGTTAGAAGTTGGGAAAATTTATTTAAAGTGTGTTTCAGTGTTGTGAATCGTAAGCAAATGTTTACACTGTATACTTTGATTTAGTATTATTATTCCCTAAAAGGAATTCAGAAGGAGCCAACTTATAAATGCAAAGAGCGACTCGAACATTTTCTTTTACATTTTTAAGTATTTTTAGTATTGAATATAAATTGAAAATGTAAGCTGGAACACCGAATTTATTTAGTCTTTGTTCCTTAAAGATATTGCAAAAGAAAACAATTCATTTAATGGTAAAAAAAAGTGTCATAGATTTAAAGTGCAGCTATTTTGTTAAAGTCAATAAAAACTTCGAGCGTTGCACAACGCTTAGGAATTTTTTTTCCAACTGCGCTGAGTATTCAAATTACAATGCACTTGCAGCAATATGTCAATTGCTCTCGGCAGATCGTTTTTTATTTTTCTTTTTAAACTCTTTGCTGTTGACACAATTCGTTGCGTTGCGGTTCACGCTGCGCATGAGTTATACACAACAAATACATTACACATACGCAGCGTGGCCGCACTTGAAGAGCATTTGAACGTCACCAAAAAAATATCGCTGCATTTGATTTTGGTCATGTTTTTGCTTTTTTTTGATAATGATTTTTTTTTTTTTTTTTTTTTGTGTTTGCCGCACAGCTCAGCGATTCGCATCAGCGAGCATCAGGCTGTGGGCAGCTGACATTAGGCATGAAGCATTGAGCATCGTTGTTTGCTTCTTGTGGTCGGGCGGCACTCGAAGCGGCAAGCGCTGCTGAATTGACAAATTGATGGATGATTCTCGTTGCATGTTCATGGTTATATGATGTATTATTATTGTGGCAAGGGGCAAGGAGTGGGGCACAAAGTCGTGCCTGCCTTTGGCATACACCACAAAAAAAAAAAAACAACCGGAAGCAAAAACTACGTGAAAAGTTGCCAACTCAGCGAAGCGCAACGGTCACCTAAGTGTTTTATTAGCCCTCGAGCTCAAGTTGCGACTCTGAGTTGATTGTCAGTTGGTTTTTCGTCGTTGAGAAATTGTTATATACTTTCTTATTATTATTATTCATTTTTTTTTTGTGTCAGTCGAATGTCTCGGTCGTCCGCATCCAAGGAGCTCATCAATGAGTTGCGTCTGATCTACGACAAACATGATGTGAACCGGACTGGCAAAATAGATATTCGTCAGCTGTATCAGATCATGTTTGACGTAGGTTATGCGCCCACCGAAGGCGAGGTCCACGAGTTCATGGCCGAGGCAGATGAGGATGATAGTTCGTATATTGGATTTGATGCGTTCATAAAAATGCTGGCGCCTAAGCTGAACGAGATGTTTAGCGAGGAGAATTTGGGCAAAGCCTTCGCAGTGTTCGATCGCCGCAAGGAGGGCTATTTCAATGCACACGATCTGGTGCTCGTTATGACCAGCATGGGTCAAGCGATTAGCGAAGCGGACAGCATGATGCTAATGGCCGATATCTCTGGCGACTATGAAAATCGCGTGTATTTGCAAGCATTTCTTGATTACCTGCTCTCAGATACAGCTGATAGGATGCATCGTTCATAGCGTTCATAGCCCATACATATATACATATATTTATAAATTTTCTGTGTGGCAATAAAAATTTAGATTTGCTGCATGCAAATATGAGAATGAAAAAAAAAACCAAAAACCAAAAAAATTGTTATTTTGAGTGCATAAAACCAGAAATTAATGCAGCAGCACGTTTCGTCCATTAAGCCGCTGAGCTTCGCTTGCTGACTTTTGCCTTGCCCTGCCCCGCCACGTCCTGCCCAGTCGCACATATGAAAAAGTGTTGTGTAAACATGTTAAAGCTGCATGTGGCTGCATGTGTATGTGTGTGGAGGTGACAACACTCTGGCCACGCCCATCAATGAAGCTAGGGGAATTGCTTTGTTTGCCCTAAGCAACGGCTACAGCTTTTACTTCCCAGCCGGCCAATGTCCACTGCTGAAAAGGACTGTGTCTGCCTCTCCCTCTCCCTCGCTCTCTCTCTCTCACTCACTCTCTTCATCCCTCTCCGGTTCGTTTGGTTCGTTGAGTGGCCTTAATATTTTCAGCTGACGTTCGCCTAATGAAAGTCCATGCCGCTGTCTCCCCGTCCCAGGCAGTTTTGTTCATTTTCTTGAATTGCTTGCCAACCATTTGACTTAGGCGGTCTTTTGAAATTAAAACGACAGGACGCCGGCCGGAAGGACAGTAGAGTCGGTCGCAGTTGCAATGGCGACACTTGCATTTTTGCCCAGTTATTTATGGAGCAAATAAACGAGTTCATTTAGCTAATGGTCGCATGGCCTACTGAGCTCACAAGAGTCTACTGCTCAAGGAGCTTGTTCAAGCTGCATGAGCACCAACTGTGTCTTGTCTGCCACAACAACAACAATAACAACAAAAGAAAAAGGAGCAAACATCTAAACGTAAGCCAGTCAGGATTTCCATATACATATATAATAATATATATTGTATACAGTTGCTTGCAAACACACACACACACACACACACACGCACGCACACATTCGCATCAAATTTTCCTCAATTTAAGCAGCTGAAATGGCAAAGCCAAAAAGTTTTGCATACTTTCGAGGGCTTTGCTCATTGTTCTGTTTTGTCAAATGTATCCAAGCGCCTTCCCCCCACCACCCTCCCTCCACAGATTTTATTCGCATGTATCCCATACCGTTATTCGTTTATTCGTCTGTCCTTTTGCATGTCTGTCCGCATCTTGGCTGCGGATTATTGTTCCCATATGTATATGTATTTGTATCTCTGTATATCTGTATCTCTTTCTGGGTGTGTGTGTGTGTGTGTGTGTGTGCGTAACAGACCTAGCTCTGAGCAACAGTTTAATCAGACAGCTCGTAAATATTGAAGCCACAACACAGAAGAGAAACAACAACAATTTATAAATTCCAGCTTAAAATTGTCTTGATAAGGATACCAACAACAAAGCAAAACCAACAACATGCAACGGATAATGATTACATTTCAACATTCTGTCCTGTGATTTATGCAACTCTCCAGAGTTTCACAATTATTTTTTCTTTCGTTTCGGGCCCAAAAGCATGTTGCTCACTTTTCATATTTTTATTTTCTGTCTTTCATTTAAAGCTTAGCTAGTTTCAAGCAACATTTGGAGTGGAAATTGTGCTGCGTGTGTGGTTAGCCCCTTTGTTTGGGTTTGCCTCTTTAAGCCAGCTTTGGTTTCCTTTTTAATATATTCAGCATGTTTGCTTATCGTTTTCACTATTTTCGCTTGGATATAGTCATAATGATATTTACATACGGCAGTTTAGGGTTTAATCTCATTTTGATTGATAACATTTTCTTCTTAGCTTATTTTTTTTCTCGTTATTTTATTTAGTTTAAGAGTTTTAAGAACTTTTGGATTAGTTAATACGTTAGGCTTTATAGCTTCTATATTTTTTTATACATTTTAGTTTCTAATATCTATCTACCCTTCCCTTGCTCAACTTATCGTCTATCGTTTATCTATCGTTTTGTATTGCAGCAAATAATAATCGGTTAATATAAAAGTTAACTTTTTTCTGTTAATATCTCAAATTTTTAGCCCATTTAGAGCTTAATATTTATAGTTAACTAATTTGCATCACACTCACCCTGAAATTCCTTGCGCGCCGCACTCACTGATGTCACAATATTTGCCACATGCCCCAGAACCGTGGCGAATAGCATCAGGCCGAATAGCAATTGCAATATCACAAAGACGTACTCTCCCTTCGAGCGGGGCTTGGGCAGATCCCCGATGGTGGTCAATGCCAGTGTGCACCAGTAGTAGCTCTGCAGATACTGTTTGACCACATCCGCCGACTCGGAGTCGTGGTAGACCCAGTTGCGTGAGCCGAACCCATTGTTCTTGTGTATGATGTGGTAGAGGCAGCCGTTCCAATGGAATATCACAAGCAGATAGTGTATTAGGGCCGTCGATCGAAACAGATTTGGATAGTTTGTGTGCCGTTCGGTGCGATCCATGAAGGCCCAAAATCGATAAATCTTCACCAGACGAAAGCTGCGCAGTATCGAATTGAAGCCAATCGATAAATACAAAAAGTCCAACGGCAGCAGGCACAGGCAATCGATGTAAAAGATCGTCGAGTTCATGTAGTGAGTGCGCAGCTTCAGTGCATCCGTTTGAAGGACCCCATCCTCCAGATAGCCGGTGCGAAAGTGAAAGAATATGTCAATGAGATAGAGAAAATCGGACAGATAGTCCAGGCAGAACCAAACGGCAATGGTGCGACGATTGATCTCCTGAAAGGCGAAGCGGTAGATTATCACCCAAAAATTGTACAAAAAGGCCATGGAAACCACCATGGACCAATAGTAGCAGAGCCGCCCCGCCGGATCGAACACGAAGTGCAGCTTGCGGGCAGCTGTGGCGGCGCGAATGCGCTGCGAGGCAGTACGATGCGGTTTCTGGTGGTGCGGCTGGGTTGAGTGGCCGCCGCCAGCGCTGCCACCAGCACCACCACCACCACCAATGCCACCATGTGACTGATGGTGTGGATGGCCGCCGTGAGGTGGACCGGGACCGCCTTGTGCGGATTGGCCATGCGCATGCGGGTGGTGCGATACCGTGGAGGCCGAGTGCTGCAGCTGGTATGGGTGGTGCGTTGCTTGACCGGCATTGTGGTGCTGTTGCGAACGTGAGCGCGGGTAGCTGTAAATGCGAGAGAAGCACACACTAACGTCGACTTCGAGCAGAGCTAGATGCCGTTACTTACCGATCTGTGCCATTGCAGTAGTTGCCGCCATATTGTGTGTGGCCCATGAGCATGTTGGTGGCACCACCGCCAGCAGCAGCACTGCCAGCACCGCCGCCACCTAGCGTGTTATCCTGCGAGCCGCGGCCTGTGGATCGATTCCAGGTGCCCAGCAGTGGCTGATCGCCGCCAATTGTTTTCAGACGTCCGCGCGACTTGTTGTTGTTGGGGCGTTGCTTGTTGTTGTGCAATAAATCCATTTCGGAGGCAGTGCTTACGTTGGCCATATGCGAGTTCGATGCTCTGGATGCACATGGTGTGGCCAGGCTGTCATGCGACGTAAAGAAACCTTGTTGCGAGACGCTCTGACCGAATTTCGGCTGGGACATGCCAAACTTGGGGCCTAGATCTGCAATCCGAGAGGGCGAAAGAGAGAGAGAGAGAGAGAGAGAGAGAGAGCGAAATTTAATTGAAATTATAGATATATAGTGAAAGGATAAAGGTTCGAGAGCGGGAATATACACACACATGCAGACGGTGTTTCAGCCTTACCCAGAAAGCTCTGTCGATCGATTGAGAAGCGACGCAGGCTACCCAAATCAATGAACTGCTCATCGGCTGCCATTGTTGGTGTTATTGAAAGTTCAGTTGTATGAAAGGCACCACCACTACCACCACCACCACCACTACTTTGTGTGCCACTGGCACCACCACCTATACCAACACCACCACCAGCACCTCCACTACCACCACCACCGCCTGCATTAGCACCAGCCGCAGTCAGATTGGTGCAAGTGGTGCCACCACCGGCACTGCCGCCCAAATAACCCGCATTGCTGCCATAGAAACTGCCATCGAGCTCCGCCATTTGCTGCTCGTAGGCAGTCAGCGGATTGATGGACCTGGAGCTATGATCACGGTACAGAGGACGCGGTGATGGCATCAGCGATGGATATGGTGGATTGAGCATGCCGTTCAATGATAGCCGTGGCTGCATTATATTCAAAAAGCTAGCGCGTGGCGCCTTCTCAAGACTCGTTGCTCTGGTTGTTGTTGTTGTTGTTGTTATTGTTGTTGTTGCTGTTGTTGTTGTATATTTTATGTTGTTTTGATGTTTTGCTGTTGTTGTTTGGTTTTGTTTGCTATCGGGCAGTGCGACAGTTGTTGCATTTAGCACACTTGGCCGCCATCGTTCAGCTGCAGCATCATCGTCGTCATCATCATCATCATCATCACCATCATCGTCATCTCTGGCATCGTTTGCTTTAGTGGCTTTGACGTCATAGCCAGCAATCGTGTCGGCGTCTGCGTCACCGCCATCAATAGCCGCAGTACGGCAAAGGCGGCCAGTGGGCGTGGCCTTGTTCGGCTGCTCAGCTGCATATGCAAGTTGTGTGTATGTATTTTTATTTAATTTTTTGTTTGTTTTGTTTTTTTTTTTTTTTTTTTTTGCATATATACGAATTTTAATTTGTTTATATTTTTATAATTTTTTGTGGAAAACAAGAGAAATGTGTACAGAAAGTTATATTAATTGCATATTGTCCATAATAAACATTTTTTTTTTTTTTATTTGTGTGTGCTTGGTAGGGAAACACATTTATGGAGAGACAGAGAGAGAGAGAGAAAGAGAGACACATATGGATTAACAAAGAAACAGACAGAGATATATAGAGAGTGGGTGGTGTAGTGGTTGGTTGATTGGTTGATTGGTTGGTTGGTTGGTGGTTTGGTGGCTACAGGTGGTTGGGCCTTTAACAACAACTGCAATTAACAACAACATTCAGCAACAATTAACAGCAACAACAAGAGGTTAACAACTTATGTTTCTATATATATATATATATAAATACATGACTCGAATAAAGCTAAAACTAATTGTATTTCAGTTTCAGTTTCGGGAGGGATTTGGTTTTTTTTTTTTTTTTTTTTTTTTTTTTTTTTTTAGTAAAATTAAACATGCTGTGGGTTTGTTTTACAGTTCAATGGATTAAAGTGTAAAATAATTGTAGATTTTTCCAGCGTGGATTTGTGGTAATTAATATGTAAAACGGGCTACATTTTGATATCATTTAAACTTTTGCAAAATTACAACAATAATTGACCATGATCAATTAAGCTTAAAATTCTCTTGATTTGTTGAAATTGCAAAAGTTTTAAGTATTCTATAGCTGTATATTCTAAAAATTCTATCTAACAATAGTTCACATTTCATTTTAAAAGAAACAAGAAATTTTTCCCAAATGGAAATTTATATTTATCTCTGTTTTGTTATCTAAGATATATGATATATTTATACTATAAATATATTTATACATTTTTTTCTTTAAATATAAAATTATTTACATTTAATTTATTTACTTCTGCGTAAAAAAAAATTTACAAACTCAATCGAAATTTCTGTGGAAAATTTCTGGAATTTCAGGAATATATTAAAAACAACCCCAATTACCATACTCAAATAATGTTAATTAAACACTTCACACACACACACATACATACATACACCTGGACAGGTATGAAGGCATTTGTTGTGGTCCTATTTAGTTAAGTTTTTCGCCTTTTGGCCGCATGCATGGAAAGGCAACACCTTCAAGCACTTGAACAAATGTGCTAATAAAGTTAGATTTAATTACGTGCGCCTTTATGGGGCATGCAACAAAACAGAAACGAAACGAAACGAAACAAAGAGTCGAGAGAATAACAAAAATAAAAATTAGATACCCAAACACATAAAGGGATGCGAGCAAAGACTCACACACACACACACACACACACACACACAGACACATACGCAAGCGAGCGAGCGTTTCATTAGCTCTAAGCAGCTGCCTGGCAACTGGGCGCACTTGGCAATTCATGAGCCAACACACACACACACACACATACACTAACACGAGTGCCACTTGACTGCCGTGGCAAGACAATAGCCATGAAGCTAGAGCTAGACCCAAAGCTGCATGCGGCGCCAATTTATTTCTATTACTCGAATGCGGACAACACATCTGAGCTGCCTGGCTGGCCTTTTACTACTACTGCTGTTGTTGCTGTTGTTGTTGCTTTGTCAACTGTCAGCTGTTGCTGTTGTACCTGTCTCCAGCTGTGCTGCCAATTGATTATTGGTCAACCGCTTTTAATTATTGCTGCCTTGAAAGAACGTCTTTAATTCAATTAGCGTGCGCAAAGCAATGCATCAGGGAGCTCACTGGCTAAACTTACAGTTGACCCCAGGACAAAGTAACTTGAGCTCCACTCAAAGCCCCCAAAGCCCCTCCTTCCCGAAAGCCCTTAATGATCCCGCGCACAATGCAAAATTGTTTAATTAATTTTGTGCGGCAAAGGCGGCGTATGAGCGACATGTATTTGCACTTACAGCTGCTCGACTTGCGCAATGAATTCAAATTAATTTAGCTGCCATGAATACACACATACTCACACTCACATATATATACACTCTCACATTTCTCATATACAAATCAGTCCAATTAATTTATTAACACAATTGCATAAATTTATTATAAATGTGTTGAGCTGCTGACATTTTAAGCCACAGCCCGCTGACCAAGTTAAGAGCAGCAGCTGTTGCAGTTGCAGCTGCAATCATATTTGCTTGGCCATCTTTTTTGGCCAAGTGCAAGTGCATTTCCATGTCATGTAGACAAAAGTTTTACTGCACACACTCACATACTCCTACTCACTGTTGCGCTCCCCCTGCCCTCCCTCCGCTTGGCCTGTTGCTTGACTTAAAGCGCTGTCAGCGCTAATTGGCGCACAGTTTGCTGCTGCTTTCTGGCCTCAAAAACAATGGGCGTTGCTGCCACGCCCAGCACAAGTTTGTTCGCTCCACACATCAGAGTCTCTCTCTCTCTCTCTCTCTCTCTCTCTCCCCCTCTCTCTGTATCTCTCTCGCTGTGCTAGGCAAACGCCTTGGCTTTTTAATTTTTGCTAATAGTTGAGTGCCATTAATTTAAACTTTGTTGTCTTTTTGGCCAGCTGCTGGGCGCAGAGATTCAAGCGCAAGTTCGAGGCGCCGCTAAAGATGAAAAATGAAAAATCTACGACTTAAATGGTCAGGCAGTTTGTCATGAGCTCCAGCCCCAGCCAGACGGAAAGCGCAACTTGCGACAAACTTGCGCCAAAGTTCAACACAGCAAAAAGTATATAAAAAACAAAAATAAGAAGGAAAGAAAAAAATAGAAAATGCTTGAACAGCTTTTGTGGCTGTTGAGTGGTTCTAGATGGTGGTGGTGGTGCTGGCGCCATGAATTGTCAATAAATTTGCTTGCCACAAATCAGCGAAGCGGCCAGTCACGATGTGGCCGTAAGGCAAGCAGAGCGAGAACAAGACAGCGAGTGTGCGAAAGGGAGAGTGAGCGGGGAAGAGAGCGGATGAGAGCCACAATTATTTGGTGCAGCTGCCACAGGCAAATGAAAATATTTGAGCCACAAATACTTTTGGTAAAAAGTTTATGCGCAAACTTTGCTTAAAACATACTTGAGAGCGCTCACGCATACTAGCACACACACACACACGCACACTCATACAGCTGAAAGAGTTTGTGACTGCAGCAAAGGGAAGTCAAGCAATAAAAGCTTCAGCAGTCAGCTACACCACCACCAACACCACCTCCAACCCCACCAATCTCCACTCCTGCTCCACTCCCAACCACGGCTGCTCTCTGACACATTTGAAATTACAATAGTCAAGTGCTTAGCCGTTACAGCTGTCAACTGAATTGACATTGAGCCGGGTTGCTCGCTCGAACAACTTCAAATGCCACAACAAAAACAAAAACAAACTAAAAACACAAAAACTCAATAACAACAACAACTAAAAGGACTTCACGCTGCTCGTTAACTACAGCAAAAGTATGTTTTGGCCAACACTTGATAGACAACTGGCCAAGCCGAGCGGCATATTTCAAATGCTATCAAAAATAGAAACGACGTTCATCAAATAATCAAACTCCATTTGGCATTGTTTACAGCAACAAGTTAGCTGCGTAAAGTGAGAAGCTCCATCAAATTGATTTGAATCGAAAATGGGCATAACGCGCATACGGGTTGTGTGAATGTATATAACAGGTAAAGGATATGAGCTAGGCAGAGACCCGAAAACTACATCGATATGACCATAAGTGTGTGTTGTCTCTCTCTCTCTCCCTCCCTATATATTCTTGTCTCTCTCTCTCTCTCTCCATCTTTGGCTTTTTCTTTGCTCGTCCACCCCGTCCGTTACATGTGTCTGTATATATCCATGAATATATCCTTATTTGAATGCATCAATATGTATACGCAATATAAGTCCTTTATTTTGTTATCGATAATTGATACCATATCGTTATCGATTTTAATTGAAAATGCAACAATATATGCAACGTATTTCTAACGGAAATCGCCCAGTTAACAGACAATAAGCCAAGAATGCTGAGAGCAACAGCTCTGTCTGGGTGTTTATCCCAGCACTCCTCATATATGATTCTTTCATATTTTTTTGTAGTGAAAAATACAACATTAAAAAATCAAATATTCCACAAAATACATTTGAAATAGTTGACAGTAGACACTTGTTTTTTGTTCTAACTGTATTATAAATTCAATACAAATCATATTAATATTGAAAATAGCCTTAATAAGTGCTAATAATTGTATTAGTTTGCAATGCAGAAGGATGGGAACAGTGGTCAACAGATAAATTCGGAAAGAAATTTATTCAAAATTTTCTGTTGGAGCTGGACATGAACTGCCAAAATTGTTCAGTGAAAGAGACGATACTATTGCTATTAATACTTTTGGATCCAATATTATCTGAAAATCGAGTTAAACGGCTGTCAACGCCTGACTTCTTTAAGAATCAAACACTAGAGATGGCCAAATATGTGATATCGATACGTTCAAGGATACCGGAGAGATATTATGGCGATAATCATTATTGTGGTGGTGCGATAGTAGCACCCAGATTCGTCTTGACAGCTGCACATTGCGTCATGGAGTGGGTAGATACTGAATAATCCATATTGAAAAACATTAAGCATTGATTTCATATATCTCCTATCTTTGCATGCACTACACTATCTAGTAAGAGCAAATTTAAATATCCAAGTCGTACGATCATGGTGGTAGGCGGCACACCAAACCGTCTGAAGTTCATCGATAACAAATCTGTGAATATGCCAGTTAAGGAGATATTTGTACCGATCAATTTCACCAGCCAAAATACGAACAATATTGCCCTACTTAAATTAACCGAAGCATGGCCCACAACAAATCCAGGCGTTGCCATTATATCGATACCCAATGAGAATCCCACAGTCAATTCAAGCTATTTTTTATTGGGCTGGGGTCGAATGTATAAGGTGAGCGGAGCGGAGCCTAGC